AGCGTCTGTGACTGCAGAAGGGGAAAATGCAACAGGCGACCTCGTTTGTACCCACCGAAACAAGAGCAAGTGAGCTCTGGTAGATGGTGCAAACAGAAGTTGTTCGGTACCAAACGTGTCCCTCCAGGCTCCGGGGCTGTTTTAAGGAGATGGATGCAGGAACCTGTCGTATGTAATCTACCAGCCATCTCCACGATGTGGCAGGAATTCCTTAACGAGCATTGGCAGTACATACAAACAGAGTAGCAGTGCTGCTTCTCCGGCCATTAATATTACATACGTGGGCAGCTTAATTTGCTGTTCCTCACAGAGCTGGAGCAGGAAGCCTGCATAATGAAGGATTTGTTGACAGAGGTCTTCATATCAAATCAGCAAAAAGGTAGAAAATGATCCAGTTTCAGGCACGCTTGCTTGACTCACGTAACCTTGGACCTTCTAATACCCCTGGATTATGGGCACGACGTACCAGGTGCTCTGCTCTTCTCAGGCCCTTATTGCTGCCACTTTTGAACTTTATCTATTAAAGCTTTCACCAAGAAGACAAACAGCACGATAATAGTCACTAATTTCACAGGAAGGAGGCATTACTCAGGCGTGAGGAAGATGGTGGCTTCTGGAGACCAAACGCCCGTTCAGAAAGGTGCTTAAACATGTGCCTGGTGTTAAGTGCATAAGCCTGTGAGTTTTCAAACGGTGAAAAATCAACTCCTCATCACTTTGAAAGTGATATCCTAACTTGTTTTAACACTGTTCATGTATGGAATATGGTATTACAATAAACATACAGAAATACGTGACAGAGCTCCTGGGCTTTCAAAGACTAAATAAATTAATCTCTGAGAGGCTTTTTTAAATGCTTGAGGCATTTTCTAAACACATTTGGCAGCGATAGCTCCTTGCCCGAGTTAATGCCTCAGTGATGCTTGCTAGACTTTGCTTGATCAATACGTATGTGAGTCCAAACACCGCTCTCTCCTAAGTGACACATGTGAAATACTCTTCTAAGTTGTACTACATGAGTCTTTCAGCTCTCACTAAGGATCTTCCACAAAGCAGCAGCCCCACAGACCGCAGGGGAATGAGAGCAGGCAGTCTTGGAGAAACTGAACATACACAGAGCTGAACTAAAGTGTCTCCAGTGTACTCATTTCATTTACATCTCATTCATTATGGAAACGAGGTGTGAAAGTAGTTCCTAGAGCTACTTAGTGCAGGCTGCACATCGATTTAATACCTATTCCAGTTTTTCAAGTCACTTACCTCCATAGAGCTCTTGTTCCAAGCCAATTATTTTGCTGCATCGCTCAGACTTTGAATTCATTGGTGTATTAATGCAGCTTGGTCTAAACCACTATATATTTAAGGCTGCTGAAGGGGAAGCCTTTAAAATGAAGGAAGACAGTAAAGAACCAGCTTACCTGATTTATAGGACAATCGACTTTCTACTTCTGATGGTGTTTATGCATAAAGTCTCTAAAAAAAGCCAAACTGCATCAGATACATTTTCTTCTCTTAACCTGTTTGTATCAGTCTATCAGTCTAGCTACTCACATGAAAAGAGACTCCAACATGAAAATAAAGAGGCAACTGGAAAAAAAAGTAATTAATAACACTCACAGAAGACTGCTTGCTATCAGCAGGGCTCTTTATCAGGCTTAACAAATTGCCAATGGGAGACACAGATGCAAAATGTTAGATGTATACCACATCTAAACAGCATCACTGCTTTTATGATGGGGAACAGAATTTAGCCCCCTCTGTTTGCCAAACGGGATTCTTACGCAATTGCCTGAAACACGAGCTTTGCCCCTTGAGATGTTCCACGGGGCAGAGGCTCTCACTGAAAAATCTGGATTCTGGACTGTAAGAAAAGTGGATATACACAAACACACACACCTCCCAACAGACAGATAGATAGATAGATAGATTTATTCTGCTATTAGCAGATTAATTAATTAAGAGTGTTTGCTTGCATACAGATTGCCACAATCCACTCTGGCTTCTCCTTGAGCAGAGCTCAGGATCCTGCGCTGTGACTCTGATACATCAAAGGGTGTGGGGGCAGTGCAGTCTCTTTCTGGTTTTGCTGCAGATTTCCTATGTTATTTTGGGCAGATCACTTAACCTTGGTGTTCTCCGTGCCAATAAAGAATCCACCTTGCTCAGAGCACTCTGAGATCTATGGACAAAGAACACCCTAAATACTGGCTGTTATTTATAGCATTGCCCTATGGATAATAGCGAGCTACAGCTGTTAGAGACAGCAGGGACCTCTGAGCAAGCAGAAAGGCATAAATCTGAATGTCAGTATCCTTAGCATTGTAGCTGGCGGCTGTTTTGTCCTAGGAGAACATTTCGGTGGTCTGTGCTACCAGATGAACTTGCTGTTAGTTCTTCATGTTCCCCAGAGGCAGCTAACGCGGAAATCTGGATTTACCACAGCAGCTCATCGGTAAAGCAATTCTGACAGCCTGCTCCCAGCACGGCCGGTACCTGCCCTTTCCGAAGCAGAACGACTGGCCAAGCAGCGACGCTTCTGCACGGCAATCTTGCACGCACGCACGCGTCCGAGCTGCACAGGCTGCCAGCTGAGATTTGGCCACTTTCACCCCGACCTCCACACCGCTAAGGGTAAGTCTCTGTGGACACGATGTCGTGATGTGTAAAAAGCACTCGAAATAGCT